TTTTAGAATAGGTTTCATGATCAAAATATTGTAAAATGCTAATAAAATAATAACGATCATAATAATAATAATTTAAAAGGCAGAGATTTCTTTTGTATGTTGTTGAAGACATTACGTTGAATCAACGTACAGATCTTGTAAAAAAAAAAAATCAAGTGTTTTTTAATGTTTTTTAAACCTTTTTCAATCATTTAATACTAAACATTATTTCAACGTTGTTTCAACCTTGAAACAACAATTGACATTATTTCAACCATATATCAGTGTTGAAGGTTGGTCATGTCCTGGCTGGGGAGTATTGGCTGGAATTGTTGTATAATTTTACCTGTACATTATATTAAAGCTACTGCTAAGAAAAAGAAAGAAATCTTACAGTAATGTTTAGGTAGAGGTTGATGACACGGATTAAGTAAAATAAATTGAAACCACATATTCCAGCAACATATTGTCCATCTCATCTCCTTCAAGCCATTTCTCCTGCAGTTACACCTGCACTCACTCACATCATTAACACATCCCTTCACACTGGTGTTTTTCCCTCAGCATTTAGACAGGTTCGTATAACCCCTCTACTTAAGAAACCCAACCTTAACCCATCTCTTTTAGAGAACTACAGACCGGTTTCCCTTCTTTCTTTCATTGCAAAAACACTTGAACGAGTTGTGTTCAACCAAGTCTCTGCCTTTCTCACACAGAACAACCTCCTCGACAGCAACCAGTCTGGTTTCAGAAGTGGACATTCGACCGAGACTGCCTTGCTCTCAGTTGCTTAGGGCTGTCCATTCCCAGCCCTAAGACTGGCAAGAGCGGATTCCAAATCTTCTATACTTATCTTGCTGGATCTGTCTTCTGACATCAATAACATCTCCTGACATGTCTGTTCTATGAAATGAGAGTCTAAAGTCTTCTGCTTTTGACACGGTTAACCACCAGATCCTCCTGTCAACCCTATTGGCAAAGGGCATCTCAGGAACCGCACTCCAGTGGTTTGAGTCTTACCTCTCAGATAGGTCCTTCAAGGTATCTTGGGAGTGGTGAGGTGTCCAAGTCGCGACATCTAACTACTGGGGTGCCTCAGGGCTCAGTTCTTGGACCACTTCATTTCTCTGTCTACAAAGTATCACTAGGTTCTGTCATTCAGAAGCATGGCTTCTCATATCACTGCTATGCTGATGACACTCAACTCTACCAAGAACCATCCCCTTAAACTCAACCTTGCCAAGACAGAACTGCTTGTGGTTTCATCAAACCCATCATTTCATCACAATTTCACCATCCACTTAGGCACATCAACCATAACTCCTTAAAAAACAGCCAGAAATCTTGGAGTTATGATTGATGATCAGTCTTGGCAGGTCTTCCAGTCAGTTCTATCAAACCTTTACAATTAATCCAGAACGCGGTAGCAAGATTAATTTTTAATGAGCCGAAATGAATGCATGTCACACCTCTGTTCATCAATTTGCACTGGTTACCCAATAGCTGCTCGCATAAAATTCAAGGCATTAATGTTTGCCTACAAAACCACCACTGGCTCTGCACCCCTCTACCTAAATTCATTACTTTAGTCTTATGTACCCTCTAGAAGCTTGTGTTCTGCATGTGAACGTCGCTTTATTGTGCCATCCCAAAGAGGCACAAAATCACCGGCTAAAAACACATTTCTTCCATCTTTATTTGACCCTCTCTCTAGCACTCTCTATTCTAATTATATTCTTTAAAAAAAAAACTTGCCTCTTTTAGACTTGCCCTCTATTCATTTACTAACTGCTTGTTTTCTTTAAAAAAAATTGACCCTCTAACTCTAGCACTCTCTATTGTAATTTTATTATTTAAAAAAACTTGCCCCTTTTAGACTTGCCCTCTATTCATTTACTAACTGCTTGTTTTCTTTAAAAAAAATTGACCCTCTAACTCTAGCACTCTCTATTGTAATTTTATTATTTAAAAAAACTTGCCCCTTTTAGACTTGCCCTCTATTCATTTACTAACTGCTTGTTTTCTTTAAAAAAAAAAAATGATTAACAAAAGCAAAAAAGGCCTCTAACACTAGCTTGCTCTATTCTTTTTCTATTCTATGTTTTCTTTTTATTATATGATTAAAAAAAAAAAAAACTTGCTACGTGTACTGCGTTAAGCTAACCGAGACATGTAGTGTGTTCACCCTGTTGGAGTATGGCAGTGTGAATTGGCTTTTAGGTGCTTTGGAAAACAAAACAAAAAAACAGAAAAAAAAATAATATTTTTTTAATGTTTAAGCAACTAACATTAAATTCTTAAATCTTAATTCATTCTTACTTTCCCTATTCTTATAATATTCAAGTGTTCATGTCCCTGAGTAATATCTGCATGCACCTAAGTCTGAAGAGAACACATAATATGCTAGTCATTCGAAATACTTATGCTTAATGTTACACTGTCAGATATGCAAAAGAAATCTATCGTATCTCTTGCTCTGGCTACTGTGTATAGACCACCAGGGCCATATACAGATTTCCTAAAAGAATTTGCAGATTTCCTCTCAGACCTATTGGTTACTGTTGATAAAGTGCTAATTGTCGTAGATTTTAACATTCACTTTGATAATACAAATGATGCATTAGAACTTGCGTTTACTGACCTAATAAACTCTTTTGGAGTCAAGCAAAACGTCACCGGGCGTTATATTGTAGAAACTTAATTTGCTGTAAAGTTGCTTTGCAACGATTTGTATCGTGAAAAGTGCTATACAAATAAACTTGAATTGAATTGAATTGAATAGTAGACAGCAATCCATATGAGAGAGAGGTCTTGTGTGGAAGGTGGATCTGGAACTGACTTCTGTACAGGTTGTCAACATCTCTTGATTACCGAACTGCCCTGAAATACAATTCAAACATTAACAATGATTGTTATAAATGTAACGTGAGGCTCTTACATTCACAATGCTCATTTTGGTGGTGAAGTGTGCAGGAAATTCTGCCAGACTGAAATTTATTCTTTGGTGAACAGTCTTCAAGAGTGCAAATAAAACGTTATGTTTTAGGTACCTTTCAGACTCGCGTGAGGTTTCCACAAGCAACAAAGTCTACTTGAACAAACACTTCACTGCGTTTAAAGTTGAGAAAATAATATTTAAACAACTAAATGGATTTATATAATTTTACCTCAGACTGTAACCCAGACCGCTTCACGTGCTAATTAACCAACAGGAAATTATCAAATTAAACATTGGGAACTTAATAACTTTACAATACATTATGATGGACCCTTCTGTAGGTTGTTGTGTATGAAGTGTCCTCTCCGTGCAGAGTTAAACAAGATGGCCTTGTAGGACATACAGGAAATATTTGATATTTATTTGATATATTTTTTTGAATACTTGATAAACTTTTGAATGTTTAAGTTTTTACTTACTAGTGAGATGGTTCATAGTGCTTTGGAGATGTTCTTCGACAGGAGATCCGCTCCAGCTCTGCAGCATGGCCATCAGCATGGAAGAATATAGGAACAATTTGTCACGGAGCCAACAATATATAGTATACAATGTCAGGTTTATTACAAATAAACAAACTAGAGCATAGGTGAAATGCAGAAAAGAGAAATAGTAATATGGAAAACATACAAAAAAATGTTAAAGGGTTAGTTCACCCAAAAATGAAAATTAGCTTGTGTTTTACTCACCCTTGAGGCACTTGTGGACTGTTCTACTGCAACATTGTGAAAAATGCATATGAAGTTATTTAATAAGCTTTCTCAGATTACCTGTGTTTCCTATATCTCTGTCAGCAGCTCCCATTAGAAATGTTCTTGGAACTTCCCCTCTGTTTTAGAGGATTTTTTTCTGACATTCCTGAAATCACATTACAATTTTTTATCAATATTTGTTTACAATGAGAAAAAATCAAGACGTCTTTGATACACAGTGGTTTGAAATAGTTTCAGCCCATTTTAGCCTGCATGTAAGTGACGTCAACGATTGACTCTACAGTGCAGACTTGTAAGTTAAATTAATTAGCTTACTTCCATTTATCTATTGACAAAATACCAGCAAAACATTTACAAAGCTATCAAAACCGCTCATCTACACATAAGATGTGATTAAAAGCCCAAACTTTCATTAATAACAGCTCAACTCTATAGTTAGCCTACCTCTTATAGTTAGCCTGTATAGTTGGTTAACGGTTGTGATGCTAACGGTCTTTTTCCGAAGACACTAAACCATTTCTGTAAAGTAAATATTGAACAGAAACGTGTCAGTTAAAAGTAAGAAATGTCAGGAAGAGTTGTATGTATTATTTATGTGATTTTAGTGACTAAACTTACCTGAAAGCTGTGAAAACAGTGAAATACTTGTCAGCTGAGTTGACGCCCCGTTTCCATGGCAACTCCCTCCGCTCCAGTTTAAATGCGACTGGAATGTTCAACGCGCGCGCCCATTAATACACGTCAGAGTTACCAGCGTTTACATAAATAGTACAAAGTCAGATAAAATGTCATGAAACTTGATCACGTATTGTTTAAGTGTATAGCAGGCCTACATCAAACTGTAAATTCACTGAGAATATATAAGCAGTATTGCAAAACATTGTTGAACTGTGATGAAAAACCAGCTGATCCTGAGCCAGCTGAAGGTGGGTCTACTGTCATTTTAATTCTGTCCTGTTTTTCACACGTGTCTAGTGACATTATTAAGTATGTTTATTTATCTAATATTTACAGCATGTTTGTTAGTTTCAGAGTTGTAAAATAATCCATATATTATCCAAGTATTATTGTGGTCTAGCCTCAAAATTTGACTTTTAAAATGTGGTGGAAATTTCTAACTGTTCTATTTTATTTATTTTGTAGAAAATCAAACAAATGTGAAGAAGAAACACATCTGTGCATTCTTCAAAAGAATGTGGCGGGCTGTAAAACGTGCAACAAAACACAGCAAAAAGCACAAAGTGGTTCCTCTTTATCCACAGCCCGACACATATTCAGCTGATCCTCAGCCGGATCAGTCCGGCCTTGAGTCGATGGCTCTGCAGGATCCAGTTGATCCTCAGCCGGATCAGTCCGTCCTGGAGTCGATGGCTCTGCAGGATCCAGTTGATCCTCAGCCGAATCAGTCCGTCCTTGAGTCGATGGCTCTGCAGGCTCCAGCTGATCCTCAGCCGGATCAGTCCGTCCTTGAGTCGATGGCTCTGCAGAATCCAGTTGATCCTCAGCTGGATCAGTCCGTCCTTGAGTCGTCCTTTCCAGGTGCTTTCAAGCATAGACGAATCAGAGATCAAACCCGTTTCAGAGCAGCCTGTTTCACCGATCCAACTCCTGGTGAGTCTTTTTCCACTTGTTAACCTTTTCTTGTTCCTCCACTGATTGTTTTAAACCTGTGTCTAGTTACCCTAGTAAGTCTGTGTGTTTATATGCGTATGTCTAATTCCACATAAGATAATTCAAACGCAAATGATAAATCTAGTACTCTTGACCAAGTAGCATTTTCCTGATTGTGTATTTAAAGAAGTATAGTTTTAAAGAAATTGAAAGAATCCTGCTGTTTTACTTTCACTTACAGTGCGTCTGAAATCTCATACTGAGTAGGTGCTACATTTGAATTTAAACCTACTTTGTATTCAATTTCAGATGCAGCGTTTGTCTCAGACATTGACCATATTCAGTCTCCTTAGAGCTGATGTGCACTGGATGTGTATATTTATTCAAGCACTGCTATTGGGCTTCATGTAAGACTGAATCTCATATATTAACATGTTCCTTTGGTAACTTATATTTTTGCAGTTCCATTTGATGAAATTTATGAAGTAGGAGAAGAGATTGGAGAAGGAGGCTTTGGCACTGTGTACGAGGGGATTTCGAAATTTCTACGTGAGCAGGTAGAATCACTGCTTTATTCACTAAACATATACTATATCATATATAGACCATATAGATCAGTGCTTAGACCAACACATATTTAAAATCAATTTAAATGGAAATATTTGTGATAATGACAATATATAGCTTTAATGTTAATTTCCAGATTCAATATGATCAGTTTAACCATCCGTAACATCTAGTGCATTTAAAAATTACTTTTATTTATTTATTTTTAATTAAATTTTTTGCAGGTCGCCATCAAATTCATCCCCAAGTATGAAACAGACCAGTATATTCAAATAGTAAGTTGTCAAAACTTAATGTACACATTTAAATATGAACTACATACAAATTATAATTTAAAGGGTTAGTTCACCCAAAAATGATAATTGGCTTGTGCTTTACTCACCCTCGAGGCATCCTAGGTGTATGACTTTCTTCTTTCAGACGAATGCAGTCGGAGTTATATTAAAAATTGTCCTGACTATTCCAATCTCTATCATTGCAGTCAATGGGTGTTGCAGTTGAACAGTCCACAAGTCGTCAAATAAAGCGCGCATCCATAATAAAACTTGCCTCACATGGCTCCGGGGACTGAAGCAGTACCAGCGGATGATGCAGCATGTATACGCACAGCAGGCGCCTCTGAGATATGCTAGTCTCGCAAATTTGTTTATAGGAGCAAAGGAAACAAAGTTTCCTTACTTTAGCAAAGGAAAACCAGTCTCCTCTTGGTTTATATCGAAGTCCTCCGACATTTTTCTTTGCAAATCTTCGGTTTGTACTTCTAATTCATGACCGGCATTTTGTTTTGTTGTCTCTCCGCATTCGTCACTAATCACGCAACGCCGACGTGCTACATCATCCGCCGGCACGGCTTACACATATGACAGTTGGCAGAGTTATATAAAAGTGTTTATTACGTTTGAAATATGGATATTTTTCTTACAAAAACACATGGATTCGCTACAGGAGGCCTTTATTCCCCCCCACCACCCCCGGAGCCGTGTGAGGCACGTTTTATTATGGATGCGCGCACTTTATTTGACGACTTGTGGATTGTTCTACTGCAACACCCGCTGGCTGCAATAATAGAGCTTGGAATAGCCAGGACAATTTTGAATATAACTCCGACTGGATTCGTCTGAAAGAAGAAAGTCATATACACCTAGGATGCTTCGAGGGTGAGTAAAACACAAGGCAATTTAAATTTTTGGGTGAACTAACCCTTTAATGCAAATTATATTTTAAATACAAGTGAAATGTGATATTGAACTCTTAATTATTTAACTCTCTTTGCTGTAGCCTGGCTGTTCCAAGCCGCTGTTTGCAGAAGTGGCTCTAAACCTGCTGCTGAAACGACCTCCGTTAAGCCCCTACATTGTGCACATGCTGGAATGGTTCGAAGAGGACGATCGGTACATCCTGATCCTGGAGTATCCACAGCCCTGCAAAGACTTGCTCAAATTCATGGTTAACAACATGCAGCTACTGGATGAATCACAGACACGTAGCCTGATGTACCAAGCAGTGCTGGGAGCCAAGCACTGTCTTGACCGAGGCGTCTTCCACCGTGACATTAAGTTAAATAACTTTCTGATCAACACAAAGACAAACCAAGTCAAACTGATAGACTTTGGCTGCAGTGACCTCGTCAAAAGTTCAGGCTACTTGGATGGTTTTACAGGTGAGCTGGCATTTTGTGTTACTGTTGCACTAAGTCCTAATGAGATGACAGTCTTCTGTGTAGTGATTTAATACTAAGAAAGAATAGATGTGTATAAATGCACATTTGGACAAGTTCCGGTGACTTTTATAAGCAAAATTTGTGCTTAATCTGAATATCTCGTGCTTTTGTGAACAGGAGGAGTCTGCCCACCTGAGTACTACAGGGACTCAAAATACGAGGCAGGGCCAACAACTGTCTGGTCCCTGGGCATAATGATGTACACAATGGTGTGCAGATGTCAGCCCTTTAACAGTCTAGAAGACATGATGCATGGCAGTCTGAGTTTTAATGCCAGAATATCCTCAGGTGAGAGAGAACAATTAACTACCAATAACACAATGACAATAATATTGTTAAACACGCAAAGAATAATACGTGCTACATATTCCAGAAGCTATTTTCATACTTGACAACATTACCGTGTCACATGGACATAAATAACATACATGACTAACCAGTGCTCTTGTAAAAACTTGTACAGAATTGCAGGATTTGATAAGCCGCTGCCTGGCTTATCACCCAACCGAGAGAGCAACTATAGAGGAGATCCTAAAGCATACATGGTTTCAGCAGGGACACATGTCAGGAGTAGCTCAGGATCAGGTAGGATCAGATAAGTTAGGAGGGAAGGCAGATGATGACAGAAATCCCTCTTGTGAAAGTCCAAGCAGTGCTGTCATGAGCTTCCACTTTACATTTATTCATTCAGCAGATGCTCCAAATCGGCCCCAGTGAGGAAAAGCTGCACAAACCATTCAGCAGAGAGTCTTCAGAGCAGCAAGCTTAGTTAAAAAAAGGCAGCAGACTTGGTGGACAAAAAGTAGTGCAAAAACAAATACAGAAAATGTAGAAGAGCTAATCTACTGCACAAAAAGAAGAAGCAAATTCAGTTAAAAAAAAGTTAGTGTAAAAAATGAGGAAAAAAGTCAGCTCCTCAAACTGATCCTCATTAACATATTCAAAAAATTATTTAATAAAAAATTACATTTTTATTTTGTATAACTCGTCAGTTACTCACTGACACACACACACACACTTTCTGAATGGGGACTTTGCATAAACTTCTATTGTTATTATAAAGAGCTAGTTATAAATACTATAACCTAACCCTAACACGAGTTTTACAATAAAAATAAAAAAGAGTTCTGAGTCCTTTTTTTTTAATACCGTTTTTACAAACAAGGATGTCCCCAAAAGGAGGTTTTGTCAGATTTAGCTCAATTCTGGATATAAATTTGTGCCCTAACTTCTAGCCATGTTTCATTTAGAAACATAAAATCCAGGTTGTTTGTGGTTATTATTAAGGTTAAAGCTGCAGTCCGTAACTTTTTTTGGTTAAAGATTATCCGAAATGGTTTTCGCGGGAAATTCGAGCATGCCGCTGCGTCATTACATCACGCCTGTAAATATAAAGAAGTTGTCCCGGCTACTAGACTATCACATGTGAGGATGCTGCAGGTGGCGGATCGTTTATAGCCTTTTCTCAAAGCAGCTGGAATAGTTAAATGTATCATTTTGATGGCGGATTGTAATCCAGAAACGATTGTGTTTATGAAACACATGTGAATGAAATTAAATTATATTTCAGTTTTAAATGTGCTTCTGATTACAGATTAGCCTGGGATTAAACAAGATTTGTATTTTAAAGACAACCAGTTCGAAGGGAGCATAATTTGCTTTTTGGGTTAAAATAATTTCTTAATATGAAATTCGAATGGTATGACAATTAGATTAGACTGTGCAGAAATTGAAATCTACACGCTAATACACACTATATTCACATAGTCACGCAATGCTGATGTTGTTAACATTAATAATTTGAGAATAAAGTATGACAATAATAATAATTTGCAAGGTTTGATGTGATATGAGCTAACCAATCTTTAGATTAAATCACCATTGGTAGCGCGATTTATTGTAATGCTTTTTTACTCACTTGGTCAGAACAAACGTGGCAGACTTGTTACTTGTTCAGATGACAATATCCAGTGAAAATGCTTATTTGGGTCATATATTCCAAGATGTAGGCTAGAATCTGTGATTGCGAAGTACAGTAAATATCCACACCGGTGCGGTGACTGACTGCCACACATACTCTTCAGAACATTCATCCGCGCTGGAGCCGTGCCGACTCACAACCCACGCAAGGAAGATAATTCCGCACACAGCTGCAATTGCAGGTTTTCAAACAGAGATGGCGACAAAGAGGCAAAATTTACCGACTGCAGCTTTAAGTAGGTGTGAACACACACAAACACACATTTTTGTTGAAATGTTAGGCCATTTGTTCATAAATACCAACTCACATTTAGTTATGCTAGACAATCTTAGAAAAAAGGCCCTATAAAAGAGCCAAGCCAATGAAAGTAGTTATCGGCCAGAGAGACACAAAGATTTTTTTTTTAATTTGGCAGCCCTGGTCATGTTTTGGATTATTATTATTTTATGTCCCACAGAAAAAAGAAAGTCACACAGGTTTGGAAAGATATGTGGGTGAGTAAATACATTTTCATTTTTGGGTGAACTATTCCTTGATCTATTCCTTGTGTGATTTACTCAATGAAATAAGCTGGTGTACCGATGAAACATGCTACCTATTGTGCTACCAAAAATGTATTTGCATTGTTTTAAGGGTAAGTGTAGGGTAGGGGTAGGTATGGACATTAAAAAAAGCCTCAAACCACATGAATAAAATGCTGGTAGCACAATCTGATAGTTAGCATTGTTCGCTATCGGTTTGTGCTACCTATCTTTTTAATGGGAGGTAGCACAATCTGATAGTTAGCATTGTTCGCTATCGGTTTGTGCTACCTATCTTTTTAATGGGAGGTAGCACAATCTGAGCGGGTAGCACAAATCGTCAGAACACCGGGTGTAAGGCTGTTCAGCTGTTCACCAGACTACCTCTGCGCCAGCCCTGTTTTTTCCACTTCAACAAAAATCATGTGGTAGTATAGTGATAACAATCTATATCAGTGTGCTGCAACATCTGTTCAATAAAAAATACACTGCAAACAATCATTTTCTTAAATGGTATTATTTTCCAGTAAAATATGTAAACAAATTAAACAAGTCCTTGAATTTGATTGGCTGAACATATTGTAGTGATTACAGAATGCTTTGAGCTTGGAGGGGAAACTGCTGTTGTTCCACTCCACTCATACACTTTTCAAGTAATTTAAAATGATTATTAATTTTAATTAAAATCTGTTAACAATTTTTTTTCGTACATTTTTGCCACAGCTGTGTTCCGCACCTTCTGCAAGCCCTGTTTGTATTTTTCTGTCTTCTCGTGGAGGTTCTTCTGCTGGTCAGGAGTGACAGCTGCATCTGCCTGATGGGCTGCAGTCAGTTTCTCCACTTTTCGTGTCATGCGGTAGGTCTTTTTGCTGCCTTCATCTGCAACTAGACACTTACTTAACCACAATTCAGTAACTTAACTGATGCTTAGAGAAGGGTTAGTTGAACTGGAGTAAAATTGTGGAAAAGGTTATAATCACGGATGCCAACTTACGCATTTGTTGTCAGCCACATGCTTTCGGGCTCATAGGATTTTCAGAGCAGCACAGGACTTGATTTATGCCATGCTGCACAGATCAGCACAAATGAGAGTATATGTTCTATTTGGCCAGACCATTATGTCAGGTGTTGGGTTTACATGTGTGCTGTCAGCATCATCGCACAGTAGTGAAAAACGCATTTTTGTCATGACAACTCTCAGAGGGATTGGCATGGTAATGTACATGACAATGTTAATGTATTTGGTCTTGGCGGAATATAACCCCCATATAGCATACATGAATCACCTCGTAGCAGATCTATACAGGTGGAGCTGGGGAAGGTGGAGGGTTTCTGAAGCAAGCTGCAACTACTACGGTAAGCCCCAGTCATATATTTGAATGCTGATACAGGAGAGAACCAATCAGCTGTGCCATGTGATAATGATGTCTTTAGGTCAGATTGAGTTAGACCTATCGGACTGCGCCATCTAGAGTTTCATGCCGGAACTCTATTTGTATTGCAACAGAGAAATGAGCACAATAAATTAGACTAACATGTCCATTTTCATGTGTTGTAAAATTAACATTTATAAAATTAACTTTTATGAAAAGACTACCTAATAAAGAGTATATATTTACAGGAAAAATAAATTAAAATAGTTTCTCTTAATAGAGGAGCGAATGTGTGTTCCTATGCAATAGGTGACATGTTAACATCTCTATTGCTTTTTTATTATCTATAATTTAGTGATTCTAAACTGCCTTTCTGACACAAATGTAGACAAACAAGTTATATGCATTTATTATGTACTTATCATTATGTTAATGATATACTTTATGTACATAAAATATTTATTTTCACTTTTTTTATATATAAATTAGCCAGTAAACAATCTGACTTGCTGGTAAATTACCTTAGAGGTAAAAGTATAGGTCTAAACAACATGGATGGTAGGGAAAGTTAATACAGGGAAAGTTTCTAAGAAGTGCATCTAGTACAACATTAAGTGTATGGGTAATTTGCAGTAGTAAGATAATTAAAAGTGATCCAAATAGAGGCATGAGATTAATTCAGTCAGTCATAAAAAAAAATCTCGCTCCAGCCAGGCAATCAAAGTACAGGCAACCCTGTTATAGGTAATACAGTAAGGATCTGTTCTGAGGACTAACCTTTATTTCTGCAGAAACACAAGTTTACTACAAATCTAAATGTTATTTAAATGATGAAAAGGATAAAATATGAAAATACTTTTAAAGGCAGTGCTGAAGTGCACAGTGAATGTGAATGAAAGTGGAGTGTATTTTGTTCATATATTTATGGACATGAGAGTCCTCTCTGTCCATTTCTTTACCATTTACTATAAAGAAAGGAACACAATGTGTGCTTCATGCAAATAGTCTCTCACTCCTCTTTCCCTCAACCTTCGTTCTCAGTTGCAATAAAATATCATTGGGTCTGTAATGGACACTGACTCTAAAGAGAATGGAAATGCAGGCATGAGTGGAATATAGATTAGAAAGTAAAGCATATCCTTCGGCAAGACTGTGAAAAAGCTGTGACATCGACTCTAGAGGGGCATTTAAAGAAAAATTGGAATAGAGAGGGAAGGGGCAGATGAAAGTGTCACCTTGAGGAGAAGCAAAGAGAGGGAGGGAGGGGGAGTCAACCAGCGCCAACACTTTTCTCTCTCGACAGTCAAAACATAACACTGTGCCTTTCTTTCTTCAGAAAAAAAAAACATACACTGAATGAAGTCGCCGAAAGTCCTTTAAGGAATCATCTTCAAAACAGCTCTATCGGCAGCATATGTGACTGTATCTGGTTAATTATCACAGACAAAATGTCAAACAATCCCTCAGCTTGTAAAAACTACTTAAACAAGAATGACATTTTCAGTAATACATTTACAAAGGGCATGTTAGCGTGTCGCCAACAATATGCTACTCTAAAGCCCAAAGTATACTTCAGCTTTATATGCATTACGTATACTGTTCTGGTGACAAAATTTGCATCACTCGCACTGTGTGAGAATCCTCGCGTACGTGAAAAAACCAAAGTATACTTTGGCCTTAAGGCTCTGTTTACACCTGGCATTAAGATGCATTTCAGTCAATCACAATTACACGAATCTATCTCTTTTGCCCACTTTCAACTACTTTCCTGATTTCTTTGAGGAGAGGGTCGATGGGTGGGATGTATGTTTGTGCTTTTTCAGATCTTTATATATAATATTGAAATAACCTTGCACAATTTACATATGAAGGTGAAAGAAGACAATGGAAAACG